ATCTATCAGCAGTGTGTGTTTGCACACCTGGCTATCCACAACACTGCAGCTTTTATGCCAGAACACCACCACCTGGGCATGCGGCAAAATGTGCTGGAAGTCTGATAACTCGTTTCAAACCTGTGAAATTCATTCTTCGTTCTGGTTTTTACTCTGTGGAATTAGTTTAAAAGCAGCTGCTTGTTTCTCACTTGGGAAGAACCAGTTGATCATTGACACATGCCGTTCTGAAGCATGTCATCAGTGAAGGTGGATGAGTTCTCCAATTTCTGAGGCTCCTTGTCTATAAAGTTTGTATATACTTACTACTACCGGTTAACCACAGCCTACCTATACTAGAAATGGAAAACAAAGATAGCGTCCTGATGGAGAGGTATGAAGTTGGGAGATTATTAGGCCAAGGAAATTTTGCCAAAGTTCACCATGCAAGAGACCTTAAAACTGGCCAAAGTGTGGCCATTAAGGTCATAGACAAGGTAAAGGCTCTGAAAGCTGGGCTGACTAACAACATCAAGCGAGAGATATCAGTCATGAGACGAGTCAAACACTTAAATGTGTTGCAGCTCTACGAAGTCATGGCTTCCAAAACAAAGATCTACTTTGTTATCGAGTATGCTAAAGGTGGCGAGCTCTTCAACAAGGTGGCCAAAGGAAGGCTAAAAGAAGATGCAGCTAGGAAGTATTTTCGGCAGCTGATCAATGCAGTTGAATTTTGTCATGGCAAAGGTGTCTTCCACAGGGATTTGAAGCCTGAGAACTTGCTATTGGACGGGAATGGAGTCCTCAAAGTGTCAGATTTCGGGCTGAGTGCTCTTGTCGAATCCAAGTGCCAAGATGGCTTACTACGTACAACTTGTGGAACCCCTTCGTATGTTGCTCCTGAGGTTATCTATGGACGAGGTTATGATGGCATGAAAGCTGACATCTGGTCTTGTGGGGTGATCTTGTATGTCATGCTTGCTGGCTATCTCCCATTCCATGATGCCAATATGATTGTTATGTACAGGAAAGCCAGCAATGCCGATTACAAGTTACCAACATGGTTCGCACCCGAAGTATGTCGCTTGCTCTCAAGGATGCTTGACCCTAACCCGGTTACTCGAACCACCATCTCAGAGATCATGGAGGATCCATGGGTCAGAAAAAAGCCTGAATCCCAATCGGTGTGCTTGAAGAATGATTTCACACATAACATCCCTCGTGAAATCGGTGGTGAAGAAGGGAAAGGTGAAGAGCTGCGGAAACCCACCAGGTTGAATGCATTTGACATCATCTCTTGTTCAAATGGGCTAAACTTGTCTGGTTTGTTTGCTGAGAGTAATCAGAACAAAGAAGCCCTGAAGTTTGTGTCGTTGCAGTCTGCATCGACTATAATGTCAAAGCTGGAAGACATGGCCACACATCTGAAGCTGCAGGTTAAGAAGAGAGATAGAGGGTTGCTGATACTGGAGGCATCGGTTGAAGGTAGAAGGCCTTTATCCATAGATGCTGAGGTTTTTGAGTTCACTCCTTTCTGTCATCTGGTGGAGCTGAAAAGTTGTGGTGGGGATCCCAAAGAACACTGGCTCATTGTAGAGAAGCAACTAAGGGAAGATCTCAGGGACATTGTTTGGGCATGGAGTGACGGTCGGCAGCGTATGAATTCTGCCTAGCTAACGATTGCTCCATTCTGCCATTAGCTTAATTAATGCAAGTTTGAAGGTCTCTGTGAAAGTCTCAATTCCTTTTTTCTCTTGTACCCAGCCGCTAGAATATTTTGAAAACACATGTGTATAAATTACATACATCCATTAATATATATATATATACAAACAGCCTCTTTCTTTCATTATATAGTTTTTTCGACTAACTGAAGCTCCCAACTTTGCCCTTCAACAAGCTGCGAAATTCTCAGGAAAACTAGGGATGGCAATGGGTCGGGTCGGGGACAGATAGTGCATATCCGTTACCCTACCCAAAGTAGTTCGGGTTTTACTCATACCCATACCCACATGTGAAACGGGTAGAAAATTAAAATCATGCCCATACCCGTTCGGGTTTCGGGTACCCACAGTTATCCATGGGTAATAATTTCTCTTTATAACTCCAACAAATATGTTATCATTCACACGTATTCTCACATTACTTAAGAGGAAAGTACGACAATAGTTCACTAGAATGAACAAAATTAATTAAAACAACACAATTTCATGAAAATATTATATTTATATTCTAAATATAAAATATTTTAGAGAAAAATAATGATTATTTCTAGACAAAATACAAATGCATTTGTATAATCGGGCGGGTTCGGGTTGGATAGTGAGAAACCCATGCCCACCCATTACCCGCAATATTCGGGTTTGGGTTTTACCCGTACCCACTAAATGTCCTTCGAATTCGGGTTTTACCCTACCCGATTAGGCCAGATTCGGGCAGATATCCACGGTTACGGATATTTTTGTCATCCCTATGGAAAACCCATTGAGTTAGGAGTTAGGACTGCATTCTCTGTTTCAATCATGGCTTATGAGGGCATAACATTCCCTGCATGTCGTTCCACCATCCCTAGTTACATTAATACCAAATTTGTGGTTTCAGTTAGAAGTGTCCAAACAAAATCCGACCCAAATAACCCATCCGTCAATTCGACCCCAATCCATCCGTGGAATTGAGGTAAAACATAACGGATATAATTATGTTGCTTAATACAAATACACACAATATCGCCAAATGTAGGTAAGGAGACCATCATTCCCTATGTTTGGCCCGGCTTTTAGAAATGCTTTTCGACTCCAAAAGCTGAAGTAAGGTCAAACATCTTTAAAAACTCAGTTTTTGAAATGCCGAAAAGCGCTTTTGTATAACATAAAAGCAAAAACTCTGATTTAGAGCTTCTGCGAAAAGCTGTTTTGAAAATACAAGATTATCCTTACTATATTTTCATTTTATTTCAGAAAATATAATTTTCCTTCATTTATATCATTTTAAAAATAAAATAAATTATAAAACTATATTATTTAATATAAAAGAAATCTAACAAGATCCATTTTGACTACTTTTAATTGTTTATATTTTTTTTTCCAAGTAATGTCAAGAGAGAACCTATACAATCTACCAAGACCCTGCCCAACCCATTACATTAGTGAAGCCAACCAACAAAGTCAAAGGCGCACAACTCTATAGGGGAGAGTAACAGGGCTTTCAGCGCCACTCTATGGGCAGCCCTGTTAGCAGTCCGAGGAACTGCCCTAAACTCTCAAGAAACAGAGACAGAAGACAGGAGAAGGAAGCAATCCCGAAGCACCGAACTTCCAATGGAGTCTGAGAGAGCACCTTGACGAAGCTGACGAATCACCACCTCTGAAACTCCTTCTATGATGACCCGAGGCAGAGATTTGGACACCAGAAGGAATATGGCGTCTCTAGCAGCTAGGAGTTCCGCAAGGTAGGGATCACCAATACCGGGGTGAAGAAATCCTACTGCCAGAGCCACATGCCCGTCTGAACTTCGCACCACTAGACCAGACGAGCACCCAGAAGGACGAACAGCAACATCAAAGTTGATCTTCAGAAAACCATCAGGAGGAGGGGACCAAGACGAGCGGAGAGAGCAGGAAGGCTGGGGCGGAGGAGCAGGGACCAAAGGCAGGGAGGAAGACAGATCACGAACTTGGAAAAAACACTGACGAGCGAGAGACTGGGCGTGAGGCTGGATATGCTCAAAGACCACCTTATTTCTAGACTTCCAGATCCTCCATAATACACAAACGTATAAGAGAATATGGGTTTGGGGGTGCTCAGAAAGCATAACATGTCGCCACCAGAGACTGAAGTTCACAGTCGGGGCCGAGGAAATGAAATCATTTAGACCCATGAGCGACCACAATCTTGTGGCCAAGGGGCATTTGAAGAACAGATGTTCAAGACTTTCCGGGGAATTATTTTGATGCCATAGAATCAGCCCACCCCAATGGAGCCCTCTAAATCTAAACGTCTACTGAAAAGTTAAAACTGTAGTTTAATACTTAGAACGAGCAATTAAATTCAAAATAACCATTAATGTTATCAACAAGACACCCTCGCTGGTTATCAATGCTCTCTTGATGCTGGCAGCACACGGGCATCGATTGAGGCAGTTAAATCCACGATTTTGTAGAGTTACCACTGTGGGAAGAATGACCTTGAGGCATCTTGTATGAAGAAATTAAATTAATTAGATAAGACTTGGATATTCCAAATCTTTTTCTAAATAGGGGTCGATAATATGAATTATCGGCATTTGACTCCAGAGGTGACCGTCCGATTTGACCGTGTATTTTCCATCTTGGGGGTAATACTATACTCTAGTACCCAATTTCCAAAGAATCACGAAATCACCATGATAAGTAACAGACTTATAAAGAAAACATGATGGGTAATGGACAATAATGCTCCTTTATTTTCTCAACATGACTCTAATGGTAATTAAAGAGGAATAATACCTCCTTAATATTCCTCATATCCCAAATGAGTTGTGAAACGGAACATTGAAGTTCCTATAGTGCCATAAATAGGCCACTTTAATGACAAACTAGTCATTTTGTAACGTCTCGTCGGAGACTTTCTTGGGTTGAGCCCATTAAATCGCCGGCAAGGGGAGACCATCGAGGATCAACCACCAACAGCGAGTACATGATTAATCCGTCGGACCTTTCGACGGGAGACAAGATGAGGGGAGTTGGACAGTTGTAATCGCTTCCTGGAGCACCGCTCGGGCAGATGCTGCCTCTGATTTTCTGGCTAGGTGACTCTCTTCGCTGAAAGAAGAAGAGCAACTGGTGATGGAAAGAAGTCTCCCCGGGCAATGCCACTGCGATGGCGGTGAAAAGCTACCCCTTGCTTAGCACACAGCTCATTAGAGCAATTCTTCTTCTGGGCTTGCTTCAATCATCCCGATAGAGAACTTTGCATTCATTTTCGGGAAGATCTTCCCTTTCTGGCCGCCGCTGCCGTTCCCCAAAACCGCCTGCAAGAAAGCACTACAGTCCGATCGCTTCGTGGTCGAGAATCCTGGGCATAATCCCAGGGAAATCCTTCCTCTTCCACAAATTGATGTCGCTCTGGCAAAGCGACGTGCAGACGATTCGAATCCGAGCTTCGTGCGCTCGCGGCGGAGCCACCATTACCTCCTCCATCACCAGCGGCGCTCCCGCCTCGCGACAAACAGCGGCTTTGCAGCGAATAGGTTCCCCGGCGGTGGATGGTGGAATCTGAGTGCCCATTGCCGTTTGCCGCTTCAGTTGGAGAACTCGGACTCCAAAAATCCTCTTGATTTCTACATATAATTTGCTAAAATGAACAAATAAATTCTATGAATTCCGATGCAAAAAATGGAGGATCAGCAGGTTCCTCTATCTTGCCAATCGCCTTTCTTTAGTGACCATTCCCAATCAACTCCAGTTCATTCTCTGCGGATTGCTTGCTTATTAACACGTTCTACGAGCTGGAGAAAGAGGTGCGTAAGAGTCAAAACTTTTTACTTTGTTACCCTGCTTGAATAGGAGGAAGAAGAATTTTACCCGACTCAAGTTCTTATTGTTTAGAATTTTTATTCATATTTTATATTATAAGACTTTTATAGTCATTTTACACAACTTCTCATATTAAAAAGCATTTCTAATAGTTTTATACCCAAACACTCAACTATTTTTTTTAAGTACTTATCTAAAATCTCCAACTAGAAGCTGCTTGCTACAACGGACCAAACTAAGCTAATATTATTAGACGATATCAACTCGAGTAAGAGAGAGAAATTCTATTTTCCCATGAATAGGGGAGAGAATTCTCTCACAAGAAAGTATCATTGTTTCTATTGTCCAAGCAGTGTCAGAAACCCATTTACTCTGCCTCCTCTGACGAGTGACAAAGAAGTCTCCCATCGTGAGAATTTGTATTTAATAATTCTTCTTTTGTTCTTGCCACGGGCTTTGTTTTCGTAACTTCTTCATGTTTTTATGTGCAAAATATTGATTGCCAAATAACTAATAGTAATCAAAAGTTTTTTTATTGATGATCGCTAATTAAGGGGCAAATACAAATTAATGTTCGTGATTTAATATTTGTATATCTATGCTGTAATGGTAAACGTAAACCAAATCGATAAAAATTAAAATATGCCATTTAACCTACTTTAGTGTAACCATAATCTGCAGACTGAAGATATGACCGGAATTGAGACCCCTTGGAAAGCCTTTTTTAGCATTGCGATTTGGAATCTGTGGAAGAACAGGAATGATGGCGTCTTCAAAGGGAGTGACAAGACTTTATCACCGCCCTCCTTGACCCAGGCAATTAAGATCAAGGCAGCTCTGTGGCATAAAGCTTGGATGGCTCCGCTGGACATCCTCGGGCGCGGCTCTGCACCAGCTCATCGCACGCTCAGAGAAATTGGGTGGACTCCCCCTCCGGCGGGTTGGACAAAGATTAATGTTGATGGCGCAGCTAATGGGACTCAGGGACCGGCAGGAGCAGGCGGCGTGTTGAGGGACCATCTTGGCGGTTGGCTCAAGGGCTTTGTCGTCAACCTTGGAACATGCTCGGCGGTTCAGGCGGAGCTGTGGGGCATTTATCATGGTTTGGGTGTAGCTTGGCAAGCTGGCAGCAGAACCCTCATCGTGGAATCAGACTCTCAGATGGCTCTACAGCTTATAGAGAAGAGAAATGATTTGGTTCACCCTCAAGCCACTCTTTTGACTGCTATCAGGCGGAGAATAGCTCAAGACTGGGTGGTAAAGCTAGTTCACACTTATCGAGAAGGGAATAGAGTCGCGGACTGGCTCTCGAAGCACAGTCTCGTCTATCCCTATGGTAAATGTGATCTGGATTTACCCCCCCAAGGGCTCACTACTATCCTTGGTGATGATCTCAGAGGTCAAACTTTTCCTAGAAACATCCTAAGTACTGTTGACACCTCCCCCACTCTGTAACCCTCTCTCCCTCCTGTTCCTCTCTCCTTCTGTGGCTTTTTAGCCTCCTGTGAAAGCAAAAAAAAAAAAACTTATAGAGTATATGTGTTTAAAGTCAGCTTGAAGAAACTACGATTGATTTATAAAAGAAAATGAACGAACAAGTGGCTAAAGATAGGGATGACAATTTTGTCCAAATACACGAGTATTTTACTATCTAACTCAATTGGGTTGTATATGAAATCCAAATATATAGTAACTCGGTATGATCTTACCCATTTATTTGAATTAGGTTTGGGTTTGTACCCATACCTATATGAAAATTATAGTTTGGTATCTAAACTTGATAGATCGTTGGATTTTGTACCTAAATTTAATTTTCTTGGATTAAGGCCTCAAAATATCGATAGAAATTGCATTTTAGTACCTAAGAATTTTATGCATTACATTTTGATACCTAAAGTTTTTAAGTTTTACAAATAGGTCCAAATTTTGTATGTGTAGTTAAAACTACATCAAGTAAATGATTATTCATATCCAACTCATGCACATTTAGAGTATTGAAGAAATATTCATATCACCTATACCCTATCCATATTCAATGGGTTTACTTGTGCTTGGGTAAAATTACCCATGAGTGAATAATTAGCATGATTTCGCACTAAGTGTGTGAGTTGGTATGCTGAAGGGGGTCCATCTATTGTTGGTGGCTCGCCTCATCGTGGCCGATAAAGACTCAAGCTAGTGTGCTAGCTAGTACGAGGATTCATCGGGTAATTTAATCGTATTATCATAACTAATATGAGTATTGAGTTGGGCTCGTATTCACTTTTAATAATTTTAATTTAAACATTGATCATATCACTAACTGTCTTCAACCCAATTCACCTTTTCGATGTTAGAGTTTCCATATTCATGTTTGTTTCAAGAAAAAAAAGGGAGAAATTGCATTAAAAATCATATTTTTTTTTGAAAGACATATATTAATTTGTTTGGATAAGCAAAATAATAGGTCTAATTTAGATCCAATGTAAAATTTTGAATATGAGAATGTTGCAAAAATGATGTTTTTCAAAATTAATGTCACCCGTGATTAATCGGGTTTAGGCCATTCCTAGTGCTAACGCCTCTGGATCGCTTAAATAACTAGCAGCAAAAATACCCATAGACCATCATGTTTATGCTACAAATAATAGTACAATTGTTGAAGTCCTCTTCTTGCAAGAGCGGGCCTTGTGCTAAGTGTCCTTATTGTCATTATTCTCTGTTTCCTATAATCAGATTCATATGATTAATATAATAGCATTTTCAACTTCATAATGACATTATTATAAGTTTTTGCACAAGAGAGGAGCTATTTAATGTGTTATGTGCCAATACTCTTGCTAAATAATCAATACTTTCAGCTTCTCTTCTTTCCAGTTGTGATACATGTCCGAGATTCCAACTCCCGAACTTGAGCAATCAGAATACACAACAATGAACGATTAACAAAAATAAAAAGGCAATAGGGACGAAAAATAACTCCACCATATATTATTATGAGACTAGATTTTGGGTTTACAAACTTTGGATACGTTGCTCGATGTTCTTGAGTAGAGGATCTCCTTAATAATGAGAACTATCTCGAATCACTACGAAACTACTAATTGAATTACAAAGCAAAAAACATAGATTGAGTTCCAATCTTCTTATATTATATTAACAATAGACAAAGTACCTATTTAAACAGTTACACAACCAAAAAAACATAATGAAATTGTAAAAAAAAAACTTCATAATGACATTATTATTTGTTCTTGCACAAGAGAGGAGCTATTTAATGTGTTATGTGCCAATACTCTTGCTAAATAACCAATCCTTCCGGCTTCTCTTCTTTCCAGTTTTTATACATGTCAGAGATTCCAACTCCAGAACTTGGGCAATCAGAATACACAACAATGATCGATTAAAAAAAAAAAAACAACAGGGACGAAAAACAACTCCACCATATATTATTATGAGACTGGATTTTGGGTCTCCAGACTTTGGATACGTTGCTCGATGTTCTTGAGTAGAGGATCTCCTTAATAAAGAGAACTATCTTGAATCACTACGAAACTACTAATTGAATTACAAAGCAAAAAACATAGATTGAGTTCCAATCTTCTTATATTTTATTAACAATAGACAAAGTACTTATTTAAACAGTTACACAACCAAATCTCTTTCCTTCTCACTATAGGCTTTAACCTCTCTATTTTCTTTGCCTACTAGAATTTCTTTTATTTTGTTAAAAATACTGAGATAATTACTACTAATACAAATACTTAGATAATTTCAAATAATAAATAATATGAACATTTAAATGAAGATATGCAAACCCAATAATTTTTCGAAATCTCTGCACAAACATCTAAGTTTCTCATCAAACTACACAATTCAAAACCCATCAACCGAGATCCAATAAGAAAACATGTGACATAATGACCAAGTATCCACCTACTGCAACATCTTTTTCATTGCCTACAGAGATTGACTAGTCTCGAATATCACAATAAAAATCTCAACTAAGTCCCAAGTATAAACCTTAACCGGGTGCAATATAAGGCAAGTATGTTTTACAAGTCAAACCCAGGCCGACCCATGTACCTTTACTTTGCTTTTTTGAAAAATTATATAGCAAACGGTTTTTGGTTGAACTACGATTTAAAATTAAAGAGATTAGAAAAGTAAATGGTTTGGACACTAATTGAGAAGGCTTCATCCGAGTGTTGTTCCCCCTAGCTAATAATCATGATTTGTCAGATCGAATGCAAATGTGTGGGGAAGGCGGTTGTAAACCATAGGGAAGTGCAACAAGTGAACAACCGTCACTCTCTCGATCTCTAGACCAAGGGATTACAAATCAAGCTACTAAGGTAGCTCTCTTGGCCTAATCGACTAAGGGTTGCTTGACTTCACCCTCAAACCATTTTTTGGACGGCCAAATTACAACCTAACCAAGGTGCTAATACGTATTAAGAGGTCTTCCCTAATTCAATCTAGGTGGGTGACACAATTGACCAAAGAATTCCAGCTTTTACTAGCCTCTTAACAAGAAGTGGATTTCCCTCTACCTAGGTCAAGATAGCATAAGAATTGGAAATGCATAAACACAATACAATCTTCATGAAAATACCTCATAACTTGTATTGAAACACAACCACACACAAGTCATTCAATCCACCCAAGCATTCACATAATTGTAG